TGAAGGATGATTTTATGTAGAAAACAGTAAATCACACAAAAAAAAAGACTTTAGATGAATTTTCACAGCCAGGATCAATTGAAATAATACAGTTGGGTATAAAATACTATATTGATTTTTTTAACATTAAATTGAATTTTTATAAGTGATCTCAGACTTTTTTTTCACATTAAGGTAATGAGCATTGGAGTAAAAAGTACTTCTAATTTCAACCATTACTTTCACTATGATTTCAATCTTTGACATGGACTTACTCAGTCAATATTGATCTTTGGAGAATGTTCTTTACCTTATGAAGGATGATTTTATGTAGAAAACAGTAAATCACACAAAAAAAAGACTTTAGATGAATTTTCACAGCCAGGATCAATTGAAATAATACAGTTGGGTATAAAATACTATATTGATTTTTTTAACATTAAATTTAATTTTTATAAGTGATCTCAGACTTTTTTTTCACATTAAGGTAATGAGCATTGGAGTAAAAAGTACTTCTTATTTTCATTAAATAAATGTCATTAAAAGAACGTAATAATCCTAAATTATAGGCTTTGTTTTTCTTATGATTAAAATATAGTTTCTCACTTTTTCCTATTGCTTTTGAGGTCATTATGTTGTTGACACGCTTGTGGCTTTCATTACTGTATAGATGTCATACTTGGTTGATTGGGTTTATTTTTTACCCATAGGTAATCTGCTTTCTAGTCAGAGCTGTCGTTTAATCGCATCTGTCGTGTTTTTCGAATTACATGATGACAGTGTTGTTGAACAGAAATTGCTTTCCAGGAATTAACTGCTATGCAACTACGCAGTTTAAAACGACACCTGTCATTACATAAACGATTACGCAAGACCGCAGAGCAGAACAGATGCATGAGAGGCATTGGAGTAATGAGACCACAGTTTCCCTGACTGACCCGAGTCTTTTCAGAAGCACTGGCACAATTTCTGATAAGACTGAGAAAGAAACTGCATTTTTTGATAGCTAATATTCCAACGGTTGCCAGACACTTTATTAGCTGTCTGTTGAGAGAGAGAGCAGGGTAAAGAACAAAAGAGATCGGGGGAGACAACAGAGATGTGTGGGCTTCAATCTGAAAGGGGCATCACCTATTTGTTTACACCTGTCATTACATAAACGATTACGCAAGACCGCAGAGCAGAACAGATGCATGGGAGGCATTGGAGTCATGAGACCACAGTTTCCCTGACTGACCCGAGTCTTTTCAGAAGCACTGGCACAATTTCTGATACGACTGAGAAAGAAACTGCATTTTTTGATAGCTAATACTCCAAAGGTTGCCAGACACTTTATTAGCTGTCTGTTGAGAGAGAGAGCAGGGTAAAGAACAAAAGAGATCGGGGGAGACAACAGAGATGTGTGGGCTTCAATCTGAAAGGGGCATCACCTATTTGTTAAAACTAGGACAAAACAAAAGTATTTTACCATTGAAAAGAACTAACACAACTGAAACTGCAAAATTAATGATTGTTTACAAACAGGTTTCCTGAACAATCACGTCGTCTGTCATTGGTCAAGTCAAACAGATAGCCCCGCCCCAAACTCGCGCTATGTGGGCTGGTCGGAATGCTCAAACAAACAGAACAATGATTTGGGAGCGCTACAGAGCCACAATGTTTACACTGTTCAGGGGGATTTTGCTGACGAATGACTGACTTTCAGTTGCAGAAAGTATTTATCAATTACAAAATTACAAATTTAGTTACAAATCTGCCACATAAACAGACAGAGAGCACGAAAGACAATCCAGACACACCAAAAAATGTCCCATTTCCACGCCAGCCAACATACAAGTCTAAAGACAGGGAGCACCGCCTGTGTCATCTGAGTGTAAAGGCCAAGCCACACCTCCCATGGCAGCCAGAACTGTAGCCTAAAATAAGTTGTGAGTAACAGCAGTCGGGCCAACAAGGACGAAGCGGGTGACTAAACGCGACATGGCTCTGGCTTTAGCCGAGATGAGAGGAGAGAGAGGGGATGAATCACGGGAACAGGCGATCCCTGGAGGGAAGCCCCTGCACTCAGAACACTCCGTCCTTGGGAGCTGAGGATTGATGGGAATCGAGTGATAAAAACCAAACTGTCCTGGAGTCCCCTGAGCCCGAGACACGGCCGTACTTGCTGAAGTGTGTGTGTCACAGCCACATGTTTCCCCCACGGGTTCGGGAGCTGATGTAGGATAGGCCTGTGTCAGGCTTTTGTCTGAACCCTTACTCCAAATATCAGCCATAAGATGTATTAGGAAGGGAGGCGGATTTATAAATGAGGCGTAAGATTGAATAGTTGCTTTTAAAGGAACGGGTCAGGCGAGGTGTTTCAGTAAAGAGGGGAGGGAGTGGTGCCGACCAATACAATACAGTCATACATAATGAGAGAACATGTCAGGATATCGGAAGGTCTCTAAAAGTGTAAAAAAAAGAGTCAAGCTGCATGCTTCACAGCACAATGCACAAGGGAGGCGGGAATGTATATATCTGGTATGAAATCGGGAAGCGTGTTGTAGGTGCTCTGAATGCTGATAAGATCAAACCACCCCTCTTTTGGATGATCGTTGTGTATTTCAGAAAGCTGGTTTATTGATTAATTGTCTGCTGTGGGATGGCTAGTAGCACTGTGTTGTCTTCAGATCTTACAACATTGTGTTAATAAAGCACATGAAAGCTCAAAAGAAGGTGTAACATTAGTGTGCATGGATCACTGAATCTGTCCAATGCATCCATATAGTAAAAAAATCTATATTCTGAGCAAAGCTTTAAAGGGACAGTTCATCCAAAAATTTAAAGTATGTTATCATTTACTTACTCTCCAGTTGTTCCAAAAACCTGTATATTTCTTCTTTGTAACACAAAAGAAGATATTTTCTAAGAATGTTTCTGTACATACAGTGAAAGCCAATGGGTTGCAATGTTGTCTGAAGCTTAACGATCTTTAAAATATGTGTTCCGCACAAGAAAGAAAAACCTAGAGGTTTGGAACGGCATGAGGATGAGCCTACAAATGGTTTATCTCTGGTTGTCTGTGTATATTAAGCTGGGATAGGAATTATTTTAACAAAACGTAACACATCCCCTTTAAAACTTTGGCCCTCTATTTGGTCTTCTATATGGGTGGTGCCAAAGCAGCTTAGGTCAACACACCTTTTGCGTTCCTTTACTCATGGCCACACCTCAACCTTAAACAATCCACCATCAGAGCACTATGACGTGACAGTCAAATTTACACAGTGCAGAGTATGTACGCTCCGAACAGAACAAACTACATCTAAGTTACTGGACTCTAAATACTAGAGGGTACTCTAATAAGACACTCTAAATTCTGTCATTTTGTTTACTTGTGTGAAAGACTGTCCCTACACATCAGTAAAGTGCCTCAGTGGTCTATAATAAATTGACAATTGTGTAAGTAGCCGTATTGAATTCCTACTAATACTAAGCACAAATCACGAAAGACTCACACACATGCTCTTCTACATACCAGAAGATAGTGCGGCTCAAGCCAGTGACCGCATATAGTGGCACTCCAGCCTGAACAGGTACATCTCTTTAATAGGCTGCTATCGACCAGCTACCCAGACTCCACTACATGCAGATCGATTCTCTGCCCAGAAATAGCCTCTGGAGACTGAGCTCTGAGGCAGCGTGGTACTTTTTTTCGCTTGAGTACTAGACTGCATTTCTGAGCTCTATGGCTGTACTCTCTGTTCTGTGTGTCTCTAAGTGGGGAGGAAACCACATCTTAGAAAAGATGGTAAACAGCCTGGTGCTGCAGGTGAACTTGAGAGAATCCATAGTAACAAATAATTTATTCCAATCTTTCATCAATCTGAATTTCCATTCAGTGTAACATAACAATTACACATGTTTGTGTTTATGCAAACAAAATAAATCTT